GTTTCATGCAAGATTCAAAGACCTCATCTGCAAGGTATGCATATCAACTCACTTCTTTAATCTATGCTTACTCAATTATGGATTTTGTTTATGTTAATACAACTTTCAAAATCAATCTGGTTTAGATAAACATTCATATAATTAACTGTTTACTGTTTTCTTTTAGAAGCAAATCCAATTAACATTCTCATTCTTGCAATACATAGCTCTATATTTTTTATATACACCAATCTCTTATTTTGCCAAAGTTTTTTGGTTTCAAACCATATACACAACACAAGTCCCAGTTCTCACCCTCAAAATGGTTGCTAATATAATTTAACATTTTTGAAGACATAATTAAAGGCATCTTTGTTATCAATAGTGCTAAAAAAGACTTTTGTAACTAAGTTTGGGCCAATATTGGGCTTAATCTCTTAACCGTTCAGACCAATATATTACAAGATACGATCAAAGACAAAAAAAGACATACAATAATTTCTTATTACCATAACGAAAGATGCTTGTTTTATTCAGAAATTCAGAATATTGTTTTTGTTGTCATAAGCACAGCTGTTTAAAATAGTTACTGATCCATAATTGGTAAATAAATAGAAATCCTACTATAAACCAATTAATTTATTTCCCTTTTTTAAGTCAAAAGCAAAATAACAATATATAGAGTGTGTTCTTGTTTCCTTTTCCAATTTTTTTCACAAACCCAAACTTGGAATCTAATTATTCCATTTTTAGGATATGTAATCAAATTGCCTAATTAGCTTCTCCACAATTTTTTTAACGCGCTTTTGTAATATAGTAATTAATAATCTGTAATTAATTTATAGGGTTTTAATTAACTCATAGTCCAACCAAAAGAAAGAAAAATGTGCAAGTGTGACATAAAAGTTATGTCAAACAGAAAACCTTGGTACCAAAGAGCAATGGCGGTCGCGAGACTCGCCACGAACTGGAGAACAAACCCTAAATCACCACCAGAGATTCAGATTCGTCCTTCACGAAACCGTAGCGTCAACAAATCAAATCAAATTCATCATCAGCTAAGGAAATGCACGTCTCTGAAAGTAGCTGCTAATTCATTCACTAGGGTTTGTCTTTGTGCTCCGATCGGTCCATACGACGACGTTTTCATAAACTATGTACCTCCAAGAAGAAGCTCAAGCTATCCTCCTTCGAGGCCTCTTCCGGTGGTGACTGAGACGGCGGTTACTGTGGCGGTGGCGACGGCGAGGATGAGTGTGGATTCAGGGAGGAGGGTTTTTAGAGGGAAATCGTTGAAGGAGAATGCGTTGATGAGGAGATTTGTTGTGGCGGAGGAAGAAGCAATGATGGAGAATAGAAGAAGAGATCAAATGGAGATTGTGAGGAAGAGAAATCAAATGAGGAGGAAGAAGAAGCTTGGACCTAGTCCTCTTAGTCGTATGGTTATTGCTGAAGATGATGAACAAGTTTTTCATCAATGAAATTATGTAACTTCATGAACAAAATATTAA